CGCCCGGCTACAGAAAGCCTAGGCGTGCCTTACCTGAGCTTAACTGTGTTTGCCCCGCCCTGATCCAGGGCCTAGGCTCCTGAACTGTTTGCTCGCTCAGCCCCTGCAAACAAGGGCCTGAGCTTAACTGTGTTTGCCCCGCCCTGATCCAGGGCCTGGGCTCTGAACTGTGTGCTCGCTCAGCCCCTGCAGTCAAGTGCCTGAGCTTTACTGTGTTTGCTCCGCCCCTGCAGTCAAGGGCCTGAGCTTTAACTGTGGTTGCTCCGGCCCTGCACCAAAGAGCCGGAGCTTCGGGACTAACTGACTGCTTGTTCCCACAGTAGTGAGTCGGTGTGGCTCCCCTCCTGCCCGGAAGGGTCGAGCCCCGGCTAGGACCTATTACAAGGTGCCACCAGACTCCTCATTGTTTCTGTGGTTACAGACTAACACGGCTATCCCTCTGATGCTTGACACCATGCAAGGCTCTCGTTTTGAGTGCATGCGGTAGGACCCTTACAAATTTTGCACTTCTCTTGAACATGCAAGTGACATGAATCATAGAAGATTAGGGTTGGAAGAGACTTCCGGAGGTCATCTAGTCCAACCCCCTGCTCAAAGCAGGACCAACCCCAACTAAATTATCCCAGCCAAGGATTTGCCAAGCCGGGCCTTAAAAACCTCTAAGGAAGGAGATTCCACCACTTCCCTAGGTAACCCATTTCAGTGCTTCACCATCCTCCTAGTGAAATAGTTTTTCCTAATATCCAACCTAGACCTCTCCCACTGCAACTTGAGACAATTGCTTCTTGTTCTGTCATCTGCCACCACTGAGAACAGCCTAGCTCCATCCTCTTTGGAACCCCTCTTCAGGTAGTTGAAGGCTGCTATCAAATCCCCCCTCACTCTTCTCTTCTGCAGCCTAAATAAGTCCAGTTCCCTCAGCCTCTCCTCGTAAGTCATGTGCCCCACCACCCTAATCATTTTCATTGTCCTCTGCTGGACTCTCTCCAATTCATCCACATCCCTTCTGTAGTGGGGGCCCCAAAACTGGAAGGAATACTCCAGATGTGGCCTCACCAGTGCCCAATAGAAAGGAATAATCACTTCCCTTGATCTGCTGGCAATGCTCCTACTAATGCATCCCAGTATGCCATTAGCCTTCTTGGCAACAAGGGCACACTGTTGACTCATATACAATTTCTTGTCCACTGTAATCCCCAGGTCCTTTTTTGCAGAACTGCCACTTAGCCAGTCGGTCCCCAGCCTGTAGCAGTGCATGGGATTCTTCCATCCCTAAGTGCAGGACTCTGCACTTGTCCTTGTTGAACCTCATCAGATTTCTTTTGGCCCAATCCTCCAATTTGTCTAGGTCACTCTGGACCCTATCCCTGCCCTCCAGCATATCTACCTCTCCTCCCAGCTTAGTCTGATCCGCGAATTTGTTGAGGGTGCAATCCATCCCACTTGGATTAATAAAGCAAGCACTCAAAGAAGAACATAAGAGACCTCTGCACAGCCCTCCCTGCTAAAGCTTCGTAGGTCCAAATTGCCACACACCAGTGCCTGATCTCTGCAAGAGGAGCCATGGGGATGGAGTCAAATGGCAGGAACGCAGCACCAGCAGTTGCATGTTGTATCCGCTTCTAGTGTACCTCAAAGGCAAAGCATCAGACACACCTTAGTAGACATGGGTAGGAGGAGCTGCCAGTTAAACAGGATGTTTGACCTTGCATTTGACCATTACAAGTCAAGGTCCATTGGTTGACTGAAGTTCCTGGCAATAGGTTTCTAGGGTGCAGTCTTACCTCTTGTAGGAGGCTGAGTTTCTCCAGTTCCCACTGATGATCCAGGATGAGGCTGTCACTTCGAGGTCTCCACCCAGCCAGGTTCTCCTCACCCCGCACATATGCAACAGAGGTGTCCAGCACACGCCTGCGTCGTCTCTGCATACCTGAAGGAGAGAAGCTCTCCACTTTAGAGATCATTGTTCCAGCCTTTAGATTGGAGGGTGGGGCTGGTAAGATGGAGAATGGCCTACGGTGATGCACATCTAATTGCAGATATGCTCCATATACCTGCACTGCAGCACAGTTTTTGTGTGTGTGTGTGTGTGTGTGTGTGTCAGTAGTTTGGGGAAATAACGACATGCATAGACTAGCTGTTCTCCATCTCTTCCCCCCCCCCCCACGTAGCATGCTGGAGTGCTGCAGGTGCTGACCTTCACAACCTGTCATCTAATGAAGACAGAAAGGGCCACACATATTAATCCACTTAAGCCAATGGCATTACACCAGGGATGGATTTGACCCCCAAAGTTTAAGTCCTTTTACAAAATAAGTAGCCAAAACAATCCAACCCCAAAATGAATCCCAGGGGGTTTGGTCCCCTTTAAGTTCCAGCAATGGAGTCCCCATGGGGGAAATAACCCCTAAAGCAACCCAGAGATAGAGATGAGCTTCCCACCTGGACTGCCGGCATCAGCCACACGGCAAAGGCTGAGCTCATACACCCCAGTCACACGGTTACTGCAAGCAAACAGAAGGCAACAGGTTACACACTGCTGAGGACAGATGCTCCTCACACAGCCCCTCTTCTGAGGGAGGCAGTGGCTGGGAGGTGGCATCTAGGGAAATGGGGCTCATGTCCCAGCTGTGACAATGCTGGGTGTACCCTAGTTCTCATTACTAAGCGACTAGCCAGCAATAACAATGAGGTACAAAATTTGTTAGAAGAGCGTTGAACAAGCTCTTGCTCTGGCAATGTCCTTCAAATTCTCCTCCTGAATCTTCATGCTCATGTAGTGGGGCCTGCAGTTCTGGGACTGAGTCCACTTCCTGCTCTCTAGCACATTGCAACAAAGGGTTAGTAGTGCATTGAACAACCTCAAGTGATTCTTCTTTTCTCCCAGGGAAAATCCTGGGAGAAAAGGACTGGACATGGGTCCCTTCAGAGCCCATCAGTGCTGCCTCTGTGCTGGTTGAGTGGGTAGGTGGCGGTCATGAGGTACTTCCTCTTCCTTGCCAGCTTGAGAACAGCAATCCTACAGCCCCAGCACACTGTGCCACTACTAGATAACCAGGTTAGCCAGCATCCTCCCATGGCACACAGTATCTGGATCCTGGGGCTGTTATAATGCACTGATTTCTCTATTTCCGGACAAGGGAGGAAGGAAAGGAGAGAAAGATAATTATAGACCATTCCAGAACCTCAGCGTTAGTCCCTGTTCTCATGTCCCTTCTGGCAGAGAACAATGCACGTGAACACGCAGCACTGCACAATCACCAGGAAACACAGGGCCTGATTCTTCATGACTTTGCACTTTATATAATCATTTTCCCCTATGAAGTGAGTACAATCATTTGCCCCTATCCAGATCAGAACAGTAGCATTTCACACTCACCCACTGTGCACAAATTTCACTGTCTACACAAGGTGTGAGGCCGTGGGGAACCAGGTGCATGATTTCTAGCTGTGCCAGACAGAATATATTTCCTGTGATATCCTTGTTATAGGACTGCACTTGATGCAGCTTGTTCAAGGCTATGTTACCAATCCAACCCCTCAGAACAGGCTATTCCATTTAGTTTCTTACAAACATAACAAAGCCCTCACCCCATGCTCTGGGTGGCCCAGCACAGTTTCATTTCACAGTGCAATAGCATGATAGAACAGACTGCTTTTTCAACCCTAAAAAATACAAACCAGCAAACAAAATAAAAGCCCTCCACAACAGACATCATAACTTTTCCAGCCCTGAATCGCACCCTCAAGACATGTTTGCAAAAAGAAATTCTGTTTTAGTTAATAAAGTTCAGGTTTTTGTCAAAAAACAACAACTTTTGTTTGGTATTTGGTAATAGTTTTAAACCAAAACACTTTCTTGATAAAAACCTGAAAACTTTCAACAACAATGAACAAATCTTTTTCATCAACCCTTTTTTGCAGGAGAAAATAATCATTTCCTGGCCAGCTCTGGTTATCCCACCCTCTGCATGACAAACACAGAGCTCCTCTGGAATCAATTACATCAATAAATCAGGATCCTCTGATAAGGAACCTGCAGTGTGTGGAACTAGTTTATTCACTTAATAGAGTGGTAAGGGCCAGATTTGCAAAAGTATTTGATGCAGATAGAAGCCTAGTGGGATATTTAAAAGCTGCTAGGTGCCCAAATACCTTTGAGGATTTGGGCCTAAGTGCCTTGGGAAGGTTTGGGGTGACTAGCACTATGGACAACTAAGACATTGTCACTGTTAATAACCATTGCTAATTATTCTTCAGTGTCTTCCTTCCTCCTTTTAAAAAGGAAAGGAAATTCCTCTACCTCTCCGAGGCTCGCAGGCTCCCGCTGCCAAAGAGATTGCGGATGGAGCGAGATGCTGGAAGTTTGGCATCTCTGGAGTAGAAGACCATGCAGAAATCTTTGGTGATCACAGCTGGCTGGGTGCAGTTCTCCATCTGCAGTAGGGTGGAGAAAGAGGATGAAGGGAGAATTATGGAGATGGCTCGTAATGAGGCTAACGTCAACTCCTCCCCATCAATTTGAGTGAGGGATGACAGTGTCTGTAATGTTAGTAAAGACCACTGTGTCTGAGTGGTCCATATTCAGAGAGAAGAGCACATCTGACTAGACAATGGTGATTTCATGGCTTTATCATATGTCATTTCCTAATATACATGCCTCAAACTACGAGGCTGGCCATTCTAGAATGACTCAAGCATGCCCAGGGAAAGTGGATATTAACTGGATTACTTCTTTCCTGCTTTACACTTGGGACTTCGCAAAGACCAAACTGCCTACTGTATAAAGAATATTCAGCAGAGGGTTGTGGGCTTGATTCTCCACTATGCCAAGCCATTCTGCTCCCTTGGTCCTGGGCTTCTGCAAGAAGATTTCCCCACCACTCTGATAAATAGCTTTTGGGAGGGAAGGGCCAACCTTAGAGAAAATGCCTGTCCTCACAGAGTTAATAGTCTTCAGAAAAACTAGGCCTAAACCAAGCAAGGGCACTTTAAAATGGGCTCTGCCTTTTCAGGAACATGCTCAATGAATGTTAAGTAGCCCCCTGCCTTTCTCCTGCTGCTGATTATAACCAGCCCTTTCTTCTCTGCTACATGGAGTGACCTCCTTCTTTGTGTTCCTGACACCAGCTGTCTAGTTTTCAGCGTTTCTCCTTCCAGATGCTGCCCGGAGCTGAACTTTCCATCTACCCCCAAACTGCACTGTTTATTTTGTCTGTTAGCACTGGGTCCCATCCAACCAGGTGCTGAGCACCCTTGACTCCCACTGATCTTGCAGGAGACACTCTGCTCCGCACAGGACCACTCCTGCTGACAGTAGTCGCCAAGCAACTGAAGTCCTGTCCCAATCCAACAGCCCTACTCCGATGACAGCACTCTGGCACTGGAAAACAATCATCCGTGACACTGCAGGGAACTGCTAACCATCTGGAGGAGAACACAAGCTCAGAGAGATGGATACAGCGTGCAGAGAAACACCAAGTGCTGGACTGTCACCTGACAATGCAGCCTGAGGAAGGGCTTGTGTGTAGCGGTGCTGCTCTACAAGCAGGGCATGACTCAGATTCTAACTTTCTCCCAAGCATTGGTTCTGGTGTTCAGGCTGGTGGGCTGCTGTGTTGGTGGTGGCTGCACTCCCTCCCTCCCACCTGCACAGGGTGTGGAGTAGCAGCCTGTATCGGCTTTGGCAATGAGCACCCCTTATGCCCTGTTACTGCCAGAGGTGTAGCAATGTTCCCAGCAGAGCCTGATGGTTCTAATTCTGCACTGCACCAATTTCAGTGGAGCTACCCTACTGTAAAACTGGCATGCTGGAGTGGGGACTCAGGCCCTGCAGCTCTGGGTTATCTGGCAGTCTAAGAACTGTCTGCACGTGAGGCATAGTGTACATTGCACAAACATCTTGAGTTACTTGGAAGAACTGGAGTAGCTCATGCTAGGGACTGGAGTAGAGGGGAGGTGGAAGAACCTTGATCTCACAGACCATATTGACTACTCTGCGCTGACAGGCAGGTTAAGGAACACGGGAAGGTTCTTGCCTCAATGTAAGCAGACAGGGTAATGAAGATTTTCTCTCTGTAAGGGGTGACTCGGTTCAACAGCAGGGAGTTATGCATGGAGCTGTCCCACGCTGCTTCAAACTGGTAAAACGTTCTGGAAGGAAACAGCAGAGGCCTGGTAAAAACACAACTACACCTTAAGTTAGAGCTGCAGAAACATGTAACATGCACGCACATAACCACATTTGTGACAGATGGGCAGCCATTCTGGAGTTCTCAGGTTCAAGTCAACTCTCAGAAGGGGCAGGCTGAGGGGAAAACACCCCCCCACCCCCAGCTCTGAAAGATATTGTAACATTTCCGTGAGGAAGCTTCATTTGAGGGGTTTGCATTGCAAATTTGAGGAAGAATCTTCTGTGTGGATTACACATGGACAGAGATTTGAAAGCAGTGGGATGCAGCCTACTGGCAATACTATGGAAATGGGAGGAGTGCGAGAAGGACAGAAAGAAAGCTAGAGGAGGAGATGGAGAAAAGGAAATAGCTGTATCAGCACCAGGTACTGTCTCTAGCCAAAAGAAATGTGCAGCACTCCAGGACCACATATGTGCAGTTAAACGTGGATAACAAACAGGCTTCCTTCCACGCAAAGGAAGAATGACTTTTCTGTGAGCATGGTCAGAACGGAAAAGAGTGAGGATGCTTAGCGGAGTGATTGCTGTCATCTCTCTCAGGCACTTTATGCTCTCAGTGATTTTTTTACCTTTTACCTGACACCAAAACCCACCAATTCCCTCCAAGGTTAAGCTGTGAGCTCAAAGTGTCCATCAAAGCTTGGCAGTTAATTCCTTCCTACTGTTCATCTCTGGCACACAGCCACGGGCTCTGAGCCAATTCAGCATTGGCCTAAGTGAGTTCAACTCCAGTGAAGTCAATGGAGCGCCATAGTGCCAGGGTGAATTTGACCCTCCATGTTCATTGTCCCCTTGCTCCCCCCACCTCATTTAATGTCTGTGCTAAATTAAGGGGGCCTGGGCTGACAGAGGAATTTAATATCCATGGCCCCAAAGCATTTAAACATGGGCTTAACTAAAGTACTGCTTAAGTGGCTTTGAAGTCAAGGGGATGTAAGCATGTGCCTAACATTAAGCATATGTTTCCATGCTTTGCTGAATAGAGATGGATTTCTGAATCAGGGCCCAGGCTCATTCTTTCTAAACACCTCCACTCTGGCCACCAACATATCCACTCATTGTCCCTTTCTCCTGTGAAATTAGCTGCACTGATCTCAAGAAGTAAATATGTGCATATACTGGAATACAGAGCTGGGCTTTTGGGAAGTTTGCCTGCCAAATTAATGCAGTTTTGGGAGAAACAAGCTGGTACCATAAAAGATATCAATCTTGCCCACAAGTAATCGGAACTGGTAGCAACTGTGCTCTGCTGTACTTCCTGGAAACACCACTTCTAAAGACAGGACTTCCATGAAGGACATCACACTTCTTGCCCTATCATTTTTAGGGTCAATATTTTCTGGCTGGAACAAATTAAGCTCAGGTCCCAAAATCCCGGACCTGTCCTGGGTCATTAGAACAGTCCACTGTGCTGACGGTCTCTTTGTTGAACCCATCTAGCTCTCAGCTCTAGTGTTTCGGGTTCAACTTCCAGCATACTGAAGACTACTTTTGAAAGCCACACTCAGAAGCCAATCAAAGATGACATCTACTCAGGACTCCCCCTAATTTCCGTTTGAGCATACTCGAGAAGACATGATTCAAAATCATTTCCACACAGACATTCCATCATCACAGCTCACCAACACTCAGTGTCAACATAGTCAAACATCTTTTTAACAAGATCCCAGGACTGTTCTTAGAAAATGATGTGTTGGATTGGACCCCACTCTGGGGAGCAGGGAGAGACTCTTGTCAAACCACATTTGACTGTGTTTGTTGATACACTTATCTCATTTTAAACACCACATTGTAAATAACATGAGATGATTGTTTTGGAACATGTCACAAACACAAACTAAATGAGAAAGACCAGCACCACTGTTAGAAACAAGTCACTCCAAAGGGAAGGATATAAGATAAGGAAAGGAGGATTATAAGAAAAAGGAGCAAAAAGCAGAGGAACAAGTCCGAGGAGAAAGTGAAAAGCAGAAGGGAACAGACCGAGCAAGTACGTGTGAAAAAAGTGAGAGAGAAATACCTAGTGTAATTTCCCAGTGAAATGCTATAATTGGACGGCAACCCAAAACACAAATACAAACATACGCACACACAAAGAAATTTAAATGTCAGAAAGCATTGTTCATATGGGGTCGGGTAACAAGCTAACTCCACAGCTCCAGGGGGTGTGGGTGGGTGTGGAGTGGTGGCAGTCAGAGCTAGTTGTGAGTTTGCTGCTGGTGGGGAACCAGGAAGGAAACAAATATCACATTCTCTCCATCCTCATGGTGGTGATGTAATAGGATGAACCCTGGGCCAGACAGTTTCACAGAACCCTGGATATGCAAAGGATTCCCACACCCACCCTCTGCGCACAATAGGGGAATTTAGATTCTGTTCATTCAATTAATGGGCTTTCCTGCCCTGCTGTATCAGTGGATCTCTGCCCTCCTGCAGAGAACACCCTCTTTTATAACAAAAGAGGAACCCATTGTCCGTGCTCCTTAGGGCATGGATTACAGAACCTGCTGAAACTAGGTTCCATTGCCCCTCATGCAGTCAGAGATGGGAAAGATTTTACCATGCATTTTCACTAATAGCACAACAGCCTTTCAGCTCCCTTCCAAGAAAGATGCTATTAGGAGTGCATCATTTCTATCACGCTGGTGGGCAACTGATGTTATTAATGTCAAAGATGTGCCATCTCAAAGAGCCACAGACACAGCATGCTGTGTGGTTGAGAACTTGGGACTAAATATGCACCTTTTAAATGTAAGGGTAAGGAATGAGCAGTGCAGATCTTGTGAGAAACAAATGGACCCTCAGCATATACCTGCTGCTGTGAGTGCTCTTTCATCTGGATGCCCCAAGACAGCCATTTGTTTTGAGAGCTCCTTCCCACCCATTAGACCAAAAATCAACTTCAGCCCTATTCCCTCTGGAGAGGGGAAGGGTACCCAGTTTCCAGTTATTCAAATTCAGAGTTTATGCCAATTCACTTTGATCCTGAGCTGCAATCCCCTTGCTGTTCCAGTCCAGGTCCTCTCTTGAGTTGGGTCTCCCAATCCCAACAAACTGCACTGAGTAGTCGGGTGGTTTTGCAATATATCAAAATGTGGTGGATGAGGCCACCGCACACCCTTTTCACTTGTTAGCTGATCCAAAATTTGCACTCTGGTCCTGTAGCGGGGTAGTCCCCCATTCCCTGGTCTGGAAAGGGTTACTGCCAGCCTGGAGAGAGGGCTGGGGCTGGGGCTGCGAGCTAAAAGCTAGGCTGATTGGGGAAGCAGCCATAGCTGGGCCACGCCCCAATCAGACCTCAGCTGGCCCTGATAAAAGGGCTATGAGCCAGGAGCTAGACACACTCTCCCTCCAGCTTCAGAGGGAGAAGGGCACTTGAGACAGAGCAGTGCTGGGGAAAGGGAGGAGGAGCTGGGGAGCTCCAGCCTAGCAACTCCCCAGGCTGCAGACCTTGATAGAGGCCTATGCAGGTACAGGGGGCTGGGAGGAGCAGCCTGGGGTTAAGCAGAGGCAGCTGGTCCGATCCCCCCTTGCCAATGATGAGTGGCCTTTTACAGACTGCAGTTTTCCCCAGTGAGCTAGATGATGACTGGCAGTAGCCACTGAAGCAAGGTGGGGTTAGAGGGTTGGGGGTTCCCCTGGGAGGGGAGACGCAGACTGTGGGTTACTGCTGGAGGCAGAACCCAGAGGGTAAGGGGCACCAGGGTCCAGGAAGGACACGGGGGCCAGAGGCAGGTGAGACACCGGCCAACAGAGGGTGTTCCAAGCTGAACAAGAGCTAATTCCTGAGACTACCAGCAGGAGGCGCCGCACCCGTGAGTTGTCACATCGCTACAGGTCCCCAGACTAGTGAATTAGCCCAATGCACCGTGGAAGTTCTGTCATTGCTCATTCATGCATGTTTTCAATCCTGAAGCCAAAAACTTTTTCATAACACAGAACAAAGCTAAGGATAACTTGCAGTAGACTGAGCAAACTGTTAGTTCCAACAAAGAGAACAGGGGACTTCTAGTGCAAATTGTTTTAAAAAGTAAATACTGTATTTTGCAATGCGCCTCCCTAAAGAAACTAAACCAAACCAGTCAAATGTTGTAAAGCACAAACCATGTCCCTTCTTTTCCCCTCCTCCTACCCAGCCCCCAAACTGGAAAGACATTCTGATGTGCCTGCTCTGGTATGATCCCACTGGTTAGGGCCTGAGCAGGGCTGGCCTTACCATCAGGTGAACTGAGGCGGCCGCCCAGAGTGTAGAAAACTGTGTCTGCTGCTGGTGCATATGTATTCTCTCTGCTCTAGGTGCAGGGCCGGCTCCAGGATTTTGGCCACCCCAAGCAGCCAAAAAAAAAAAAAAAAAAATAGCCGCGATCGCGATCTGCGTCGGCAATTCGGCAGGAGGTCCTTCGCTCCGAGAAGGAGTGAGGGACCGTCCGCCGAACTGCCGCCGAATAGCTGGACATGCCGCCCCTCTCCAGATTGGCCACCCCAAGCACCTGCTTGCCAGGCTGGTGCCTGGAGCCGGCCCTGTCTAGGTGCACAGAGATGGTGGAGTGCGGTGCTGGAGGAAGGAGGGCACAAGAGACATAACAGGCAGGCAGGAGAAAAGGTGAGAGGGAATAACAGAAAGCAGCAGGAGCTGCAGGGAGAGAGAGGAGGAGGAGCCTCTTATGTACCTCTCTAGCACCCCCAGGAGCCTGAACTGATTAACACCAGCTTCTGAGGGAGCTTCCTGTTTCCTGCTGCTTCCCTGAATCCACTTGAGAAGAACAGGCAATCAACTAGGGTTACCATACATCCGGATTTTCCCGTACATGGCCGGCTTTTTGGTCTTCAAATCCCCGTCTGGGAGGAATTTCCAAAAAGCCGAACATGTCCGGGGAAAAAAGGGAGGCATGGTAAGGGGACCGCCTCCTCCCCAGTGTTCAACTTTCCTGGCTCCCGCCACTCTCCCCAGCACAGCAGC